GTTTCATGAGTGGAGTTCGGCATGAAATGTGATAATCTTCATACAGAAACAGTTCTTTTGGGTATAGCAGCTATGTATTTTTGGAAAGACCATTCTTCTACCAGCAAGAATTTTCACTTTTTTTCTTTTCTTTCTTTTTTTTTTTTTTAAAGGAGAGTTATAACTGCAACTATTTTCAATACTGAATGTGTCTCTTGTTAAAGGATCTTTTAGATATTATTACATCTTCATCATATTTGAAGGGCTTAGATGAAATGAGATGATTCTAGTATTTCTTAACCTCTACAAACTGCAAGAATATTTTGCTATAGCAGCTGGTTATTCTCTATACTATATTCATATATAGTACTCAGTGACAGATAGATCCTTGCTATCTGTTTTAAAGCCAGTTCATGCTCAAGAGTGTTCTCTATCAGAAAAATGCATCAGTAATCGAGAAGAATGGCTGTGGGTATACAGAGCTGGGAGAGCAGAGGTGACATGGAAATGGCCATACTGTACAAGCTGAATGAGAATGAAGGATAGGACAAGACCAAGAGAGGAACAAATAGAAAAAAATCATTATGTCGTAGGATAAATGAGAGTTGGTGAGGGATTATTGTAAATGAGAATGCTGGTTGATGGAGAATTCAGCATGAGCCAGTTGTATGTGCCTGCAGCTCAGAAAGACAACTGCAACCTGGGCTACATTAAGAGTAGAGAGACCAGGAGTGTGATTCTCTCTTCTACTCCAAACTCTAACTGAGCTTCCAGCTGCATTCAGCTCTGGGGTCACCAGCACAAGAAAGATGTGGAGCTGTTGAAATGAGTCCAGAGGAGAGCCACAGAGATCCTCAGTGAGTCTCAGTGTTTGTGAAACAGCCCTTCTGAAAGTTTGTGGGTGGACTCTGGCAAACAAACAGCAAAACTATTAACACAACTACCAGAAAGCAAATCTCCAAATCTGTGTGCCCTGTGATGTCACCATAGAGTCAGAATCACTCCGTGACCTTACGATAGGGCAGGTGCCTAGAAATGCCCCGAGCACCCAGCCCACCTTCAGTCCTGCTGGGGACTTTTGAGGCGTCAACGTCTTCCCATTGGAACACGAGACATCGAGACCTTGCCAGCCCTACGCGAGACATTAAGAGTCCTGCGGGTGGATTACAAGCCACCGAGGATCCTGCTCAAGGAATGCCAGATGTCAGCGGTCCTGCCAGAGACACACAAGGTGTCCGTCACAGGTGGACATGGCACACGAGAGGCCGGAGATGGGAAGGAGAAAGAGCCTGTGGGAGAGAAGGCTGAGGCACCGCACAGCTCTTCTGCCTCAGCTCTACGGACATCGCTTCCCTGGACTGCAAAAGGAGAAGAGTTAGAAGCAGCTCGAGGTCATCGCTCAATTCCGCTCCGCTCAGCCCCGGTGACACCCAGCATCCAGGTCTGGGCTCCCCAGTACAACAGAGCCCACCTGGGCACACTGCAAAGAGCCCAGCAAACAGCAGCCAAGCTCCTGGGAGGACAGAAGCATCTCTCCTACGAGGAGAGAGCTGGGACTGCTCCTCACACCAGTGCCGAGTACAGGGGCAGGATCATTTCCCTAGTCCTGCTCAGCACACCGTTCCCGATACGATGCAGGATGCCATTGGCCTTCTTGGCCCCCTGGGCACACTGCTGGCTCATATTCAGCCAACAGTCCGTCAGTACACCAAGATCCCTTACCATCAGGCAGAAATTAAAAAAACCTGGCCATATTTGATTGCATTCCGAGTATCTATTTACTCTTTCTTTTCCTCTGGGATTTTGAAAGAAGGAGGCTGGCTTGCAGTCTAGAATAAATACCTTTCCCTGGCTTTTTCTCCATTGCTATGAGCCTGTTTAGAATCTTACTGAAGTTAAGAACTTCCTCTTCACTGACAAGACAACAATCTTGTTCGTGTCAACGTGAACAGAATTTCATGGACTGATTTCTAGCAGGGTAACAGATATTCAACTCAGGCAAGCTTCAAGCAATCCCAGTGACTCCTGAGTATATTAGGGATAACTTCCTAATGCAGGTATTAGACAGAAGGACCAGAGGAGATGTGTTTCTGGACCCATTGCTCACCAATGCATTGGAGCTCATTAAAGAGTTAAGATAGGAGCTATCCTGGGCAGAGAGCATGCACTCGTGCATTTTGAAATCTTGAGGGCGACAGGCCCAACAAAAAGCAAAGTCAGGACACTGAAATTCAAGAGAGCAAACTTAAGGCTATTTAAGGAATTGCTGCGTGAGATCCTCTGTGTAGCTTTCCTTAGAGACAAAGGAAATGTATAAACTATTGAAGACTGAAAGATTTTGTATTGTCTTACTGTATACCTCAAGTAATTTCTGACAGTACCACAGACATTCAAATCTAATGTATTGTTCTCACTGTTAGAAGAGTTGGGAATCTCTTTCAGCACATTTACAGATATATAGAGATACATATGTATGCACGATATTGTGGCACTCTTGGAAAGAAAAATAACACCCGAATTAGGAAATTATTTTTCTTCATTGTAATAGTTACATGCAAAACCTTTTTCAGTACAAGTCTAGGTATATCCAGATAGATGAAGAAGGAACTAAACCTGATAACAATTCTTTTAGTTTTCTGATGTCCCTGCACAAGTACATCATTAATGACACTGCAGCTGTGTCACTAAGTGCTTCTCTGTGAGGTCCTTATCACAGAAGAAAGCATGGAATATCAATTTGCCTGACCCACGCTCTGGAAAGTAAGGGAGAAAATTAGATCAATCAATGAAAGTGGCAGTGGAAATTACATATTTACATCCTTACATTTTTAGTGGAAGAAAAAAAGGCTGATACTTCCTTTTAATGGCAAAGTAATGATAATTCTGTCACTTGGTTCCTCAGTATCTAGAAGTGGAGAGGATAAAGCTGATTGAATCAGCAAGGAAGCAGAATTACTTGATTAAGTTCTGTGTTTTAATAACTTGTAGTCTTAAGGCTCATTGCAAAGGTCATCAAAATCAGAGGATTACCACTGAATTTAGAATAGGCTCAAACATTATGTTAATACTGTCTATTGTCTTAACCATGTACTTCAAATTCTTATTTAGCACTGCCTCTTAAAAGGTGATTCACACATGTATTATATTTATAATCTGTAGATTGGAATATGGCTACTGAATTTGTACACTATTTTTAAGGATCAAGCCTTAAATCAGTATGCATTTAGCATATGCACTGCTGGCTGACTTGAAGCAATGTATGGCAGTCTCACTCTGCAGCTGTATGCTGTTTACTGACACTAGATTCACAGCACAGCTTTCCATGATGGGATTTTTTTTTCTTTCTCCTTTTGTAGACAACTCAATTCTTCCTTTAAAAAAGGCTAAGACCGATTACAATAGGGTTCAGGCCAAATCATCTTGAAATAGATCCTGTTTTTTTCAGTGACAGAAGGAGTAAGTTAAAATGAGAGATGTGATTTTTGCTTTACTTACCTGTATAATCCTTCACATGGCTCCTAATCCTCTGTCTTAAGTGAGGAAACCTGTTCTTCCTTATATCAGTGGTGAATTCATTTAATCTCTGTCTGTGTGAATACACAGTGACATAGGAGTGGATATGCATTTTGTATAGATAATACTGTTCCATTTTTACACCCCTTATGTAGAGAGCTCGTGATAGTACTTGTCTGTAGCCACGTGACCCCAAGTAATCTGTTCATTATAATGGCAATCAGTTGTAATTCCTAACTGATTATGCTGCAACAGAGGTACTGTGACTGTTTGGGATGGTCTTGAAAAATCTCTTGTTTGTGCCATGTGTTCTTAAATACTGAATGTGATATGTACATCTTGCAGAAAGAGGTCTGAATAGCTTTGACTGCAGCACAGTGTTAGTGGGAGCAAAGACAGATAGCTCTTATTGCATCAGCAAGGTATAGGACTGCTGTTTTAAAACTGCACTGGTAATGGAAAATAAAAACTAAACCTGAATGGCAAGGATGAGATCTCCAAGTCCCCTAAGCAGACAGCTGATGGAACAGACAACGTATGAGGGAATGCATGAATCATGCAGAGAAAGTGGTATATATACAGCAGGCATTTGGATGACGGAGGTTGCATGGTAGTAGAGGGAACAGCATTCACAATTACATTAGACTCTCATCCAGCAAGGTTCTCTTCTTCTGGTGACTGAATTGGATGAATTTTATTCCAAGAGTCCAGTCATTTCTAGTGTAACAGACAAGCAGTGCTACCTGAGACAACTCACTCAGTTCTCACTTGTGTAGCAGGAACTCCTATTTAGCTTTCTTAGCATATATTAAAACGTGAAGAAACCAAAACCTAGCCACCATTATCAGAGCTCTATTGTAATTAGTGTTTTTAGGGCTGTGTGTGTGGGCTGGTGTGTATGGAATGTCAGGGTAACAGATTAAAGAGGAAAAATCTAGAGCTGTTACTTGCAGACCTTTCTCTTCTAGAATGAAATAAAACAAAGGGTAAAACATGCATTTTTATGGGTGTGCAAGAGGAATGCAACTGTTCTTAAACACTATCATATGTGTATGTTGCAGTATACAGAATCAATCTCCAAAAGGAGTATCAGCCTTAGTACTGCACTGGTATTTCTGAAATCACGTACACAGCTCTGGTGTTAATTCAGTGTGGCAAACACTGAGTGAGGTTTTCTTTTTCTAGGTGATTTCTTTGTATTTTAACTTCACCTACGACTTCCTATAACTATATTATGGCCTGAAAAATTAAATGGCATTTTTATTACCTAAAATTGTACAAAAGTACACTTGAGCTTCATTATATATATCAGTGATGGATTGGTAGGTGTAATAAGCCATTGTTTTATCTATATGTATGGTAACTGTTGAGTCACAGCCTGAACCACTGATTGAGCACCTGGGAAAGGATCTGGTCAGCCCTGGGAGCACAGGTGAAGGCAATTCAGCTGTGTGACCAGAAGGGGTGGAGCCTGGCTGCACCTCTCTTAGACCTCTCTCAAGGGCTGACCCCCACAGGGGGAGGATCTTTGCTTGGAGATCCTTCCCTTGTGAGCTGAGATCCTCAGAGATGGTGAGTACTTTTCCTTTGTAACACCTTTGTGTGATGTTAGTTCTTTTGTTGTTACGCCTTCTGTATCACAATCCCATCATGTTGATTGTTACACCATGTGTGCTTTCGTATATGTGCAATTAAACACACTGATCCAAATCAAGGATTCTGTTTATCTCCAGATGATACAAATTTGAGGGCACTTCTGAAAGGAGAATACGATAACAGAGAGAGTTTTGAAAAATCCCCCAGTAGCAAGCATTCTGAGTAATTTTTTCTCCCTAAATAAATAACTTAGGTCATCATATACATACATACATATATATATATATATATATATGTATATTTGTTCTTCACTGAAGTGTTGTATTTTAAAAATCACAACTGATAAGCAAGGTGTAAAAAAAACTATGTTGAGTAAATGCCTGTCAGTGTCTGTCTCTCTGTGCTCTGTTTCTCATTGTCTGAATTTGTACCCTTTGGAGATAAATTCAGTTCCCTGCTGGTATTTGAGACTGAGCACAGCCATTAGCAAAAATGGAGGGACAGTATGACATTCATGGGCCCAGCTGTGTAATGCACTCACCTGTTTCTAAGGTCTAAAAGGTTGGGTTTTTATTCTCCCTTAGCTCTCCAAAATGGGGATCATATAACGGATTGTCAAAGCTAAAATGGTGGTGTGGGTTTTTTAATTGCTTTCCTTGTTATTTTTTTAAAGCTCACTTTAAAGCAATCTATAAAGCCTAATGGGCAGTGCTGAAAACTCATCTGTTCTATGGTTGCTATATTGATCATAGCCTTGCACCTCCCAGCTGGGCATTGAGTTGTTCAAAAAAATATGTTTAAATATCACTTTTTTGGATGTTAACACATCAACTGAACTATGTCTCAAAAGGCTACAAGGAAGTACAATGTTTGAACATCTTTGTGATTAGGAGGGAGGCTTTATTCTCTTCTTTCTTGAGCTAGTATCAATTGTTTGTAATTCCATTGCAGCCAGTGAGGTAACACTGGAGTGGAGAAAAAAAAAAAAAAGCCAGCCTTTCACCTGTGTCTTTAGAGCAGGAAGGAACAAATTGAGATTGATTTTATAAAAGAGTAAATTTCACATTATGGACAAGGAGTCAGAGTCTTCCTTCTGTCTTCAAACAACATGGTCTCACTCTTCACCAGGAGGTGCAGTGTGAGGTTGTATTCTCAGAACTGCCAAATTCAATAAACAGAGAGAGGAGTGAGCTGGTAGTTGAACTTCTTGAAAACAACAACAATAAAACAGGAAAAAAAAACCCACAAACTTGCAACTGAATAATCATATGCTGGATTGATGCACTGCTCCGGAAAATACACAACACTCAGATGAAGAAGTGTTGACCAAATTTTGCCATCATGGTCTGAGCACTGTTAAAGGATGAATAATCAACCCATGGGAACAGAAAATGCCTCAAAGTGAATGTTATCATCGTTTGTGAGTGAATTGAGGCTGTAAGATCACATTGAGATTTCAAGTGTGCAGGTAATGTTTTCCTCTGGGATTTGAGACTGCATCGTCAAAATGTTAGTCAGTGAAAATATACTTTAAAGAATACTGACATCAAAGTTAATCTTTATTCTTTAGGCAAGAATTCCAAAAAAGCTGAGTTATGGAAGAGGGTTTAATCTTCTTCTAAAGCTACTGTTCACTAGTCAGCCAGATTATGTGCACTGAGTTGTAGCTGATTTTGAAAGCAAATATGAGGATATTCTAATGTGATCCTGTCAGAATGATCCTTTGTAAATGACCATTTATTGATAGCTATTGGAAGTGATAGTATGTGGCACCTCTCAAAGATTAATCCTGTTTACAGAAAAAATATCATTGAGTATACATTAAACTATATGCTCTGTTTTTAAGAGATACTACATTGTAAAGGAGACTTCACAACCTCTCTGGGCAACCTGTGCCAATGCTTTATCACCCTTGCTTTAAAGAAGGTTATGCTTCTGGATGTTTGTGTGGAACTTCCCATTTCAAGTTTTAGGCCACTGTTCCTTGTCCTGTCATTACACACTACCAAGAAGAGGCTGGCTCATCCATTTGCCCCCCCCCTCCCCACCTCCCTTTAGTATTTATAAACATGAATCAGATCCTTCTCTCAGTCTTCTTTTCCTCAAGTGGTATGGACTCATGTTACTTAGCCTTTCCTGATAGAGGAGATGCTCCAGACTCTTTATCGTTACTGTGGCTCTCTGCTGGCCTCTTTCTAGGAGATCCCTGTCTTTTTTTGATCTGGGGAGCCCGGAACTGGACACAGTGTTCTAAATGTGGCCTGACCAGAGGGGGAGGATCACCTCCCTCAACCTGCTGGCTACTCTCTTTTTAATGCATGCCACAATACCATTAAAACTTGGAAACATTAGTGGTTGAAAGTAGCTTGAACTGTCTTAAGCGTATCGGTTGCCTTTCTATGCCTGGAGGCGGTGTGGGAGAAGACATTCTAGCAAGTATGTTTCCATACAGAATAAGGATTTGGCTTAGATGACTGTAACTAAATATCAAATTTTCCTGAGAGAATAGAAAGAATATTTAGAAGTTGTTCTGGAGCCTAATTCTTGTATGTGTTGCAGAATGTGGTATAAAGCCTTTGAAGTTTTCTGGCTCTGCTATAATGATGACAGTGAGAACTGATCCAGTGCATTCCAGCAGACCTTGTGTGCAATTACTGTTTTAATTAGTTTGCATTAAGTTTCCTTATGTAGCCTTCTTTCTACTCTAATGTACCTGTATAGCAGAGGGTTCTTGGAAGAATCCATGCTGGACAGTGGTCTCTGGAGCTATTGCAATACAGCTGGTAGGGCATACTTATTGCTTATAAGAACTGAGAAATGCTGTTCCTTCACTTTTATCCCACTTCCTAATTTTTACACTTTAAGGGCAGCTCTATTCCACCTCAGAGAGTGACTCCTGTTCTTTGGCATGGGAAGGAGAGTGCAATAAATAGATTGCTGTAGCACTCTCCTATCTGAGAATCTCCAGACATCCTACAAATACTGACTAATGCTTCTGACAGCCCTGTGAAATGGAGTAACTAAACTCATTTAACAGATGCAGAAAATGAGGCCCAAGGAAACTGATGGTCTGGGTTGTTTTTTTTTTTTTTTTTTCAGCAGTACTGGGATGGGTGCCTGGCATTGCTGAGAATGTGACAAGAAGCAATTGGTCCAAGGCCACACAGTGAGTTGGTGGCAGTGGGGAGAAGAAATTCAATTCTGGCCCTCAGTCTTTCTAGCAAACCACCAGATGACACTTAAAAAGCACTTCTGGGGATGAAAAATACGATATAATTATTGCTTCTAATATAAATATTTTCCTCTTAAAGTAAAGCTTTTCTTTTTTATTACAACTGACTTTATTAAGCCCATGTGATTGTCTTAGTTGAAGCTGTTACAGCATGGATCATTGAAACCATGTAAAACACTCATGCTCTGTGTGTTAAATGTATGTAGTTAAAATACATTATTTACTTCTGCAAAACATATTTTTAAAAATAAAAATATTTTCTGCAATTCACTTAAGACAAACAAGCAAAGAAAACAAAACACATAGAAGAAAGGCCTTGAAATTACCAGCTTACATGCATTCCACTATAATGAAAATTCTTGTGGCTTATATTAGGATTGATGGATCTTGGGCAGTGTCATGTCCAATTTTAATCTCAGTCTCTCCTCGTACAGTCAGTGTTTGCCAGTAAAGTGTTGAGTGTATTGTTTGTACTTCTGTTTTGTTTTGGTTTTTTTTGTTACTGGATGAGTTTCATGAGAGGATATGGCAAACTGATAGCCAGTGCACAAAACTCAGTACCTTGGGAAATCGCTTAGTAATCCAAATGTGAAACAGAAAACAAGAACAGAGGCAACAGTGAAAAGCTATGAAAAGATGGTCAAGAATTCTTTAACTTCTGCTCATAAACAGTAGTGTAGTATGATGTTTGTAATTAAGATGCTGGCAAGGTGATCCTGCAAATGCAAGAAGTGCAATGAGGTTGGAAATACACTGCCATAATTTTAACTGTTTATTTGACACATATGCATTCTGTTACTAGAACAACTAGACAATGATAAAATGTTTGCAGATGAAGATCACTAGAACAGTAGAGTAGGATGCCGCCTGAAATGCAGCATGATATTGAACCAAACCCTTTCGTGTCTTCCCTCATACAAAAAACTTTTCTAATTATTACTGGAGTAAATTAGGCCACTGGTTTGATTGGTACCAGATCATGGCTTAGTTCCAGGCAACAGAATCCTGAAAAGAAAAAAGGGTGTAGCTACAAAAGAAGGAAACAGACGTCTCAGAGTTGCCTGCAGAAGCCAATAATTTGCACTGTTCATATCAACAGGGGGCAGTGTCGGGATGATCAGTTTTTGTACGGGAATAGTAGGCATAAACACCAGAGACAATTGGTTTTGGGTAGTCTGTTATGAATTGTATTCACACCTGGTAAGGCCTTATTGCCAAGAATGGGTTGTATTTGTAACAGTTTTCTTTTGATGAAAAGCCTTGTGGAATAGCTATAAAATGTCTCCCTGTATTACCTTCAGCAAACACTTTTAGCTGTATAATATCTCTTCAGAACACAGGTTAAGAAAATTGTGTGATTTTTTTAAATGGGAACATTTTTTTTTTCCTTTGTCAGGTGTTGTGATTGTCCAAAAGAGGCACACTGTTGCTGTCAAAGTTTTCTTGTCTTTGTTTTCAAACAAATCAGTTTTCTGATTAACTGCGTTATGGCATTAGGTTAATTGTTGCTGTTTTTTTTAACTGACTCTGTACATTGCATTAATAGTCTTGATAAACTGCAGTATGTTATGTGGAATGATGTAAAACAATTTAAGGATGATTAGAGAATCAGAGCTTTGCAAAGCCTATCCTTTTGACCTCTGCAATGCATAATTTACTGCTAACTATAACTTTGAATATTGCTTTCTAAATTGTCTATAATCTCATTTATTCATGAAATAGCAGCCATTCAGGAAAGAAACAATTTTTGACATTCAAATAGAAATTTACCTGAAATTCCTTAAATGGTCAAAATGACTTTTTTTTTTTTTAAAGAAAACTCTCTCATTGTAGAGAAAAGCAACATTCATATGGGCAAACTTCAGAGAAGATGTAAACTAATCTACATATATGCTATACTTAGAATATTTTTACCTTCTGAAGGAGGAGCAAAAAGAGGAAATGTATTTTGTATTTTTTTTTTTTTTTTTTTTTCTACTCATTTTAAGGTTTCAGACAGATAGGTTTGTGACCTGGATATCTTCTTTCACTTTCAGTGTGGTCTTAAGAATTTTACTGTGCCTGCTTCTGAGGTTGTTATGATTTAGGTTCTGTCAGCTGTTTGATACTTCTGCGTGGTGTGACTTGCTTATCTAAAATATGCATTATTGTTTGTTTATCAGGCCATATTTTTTGAGAATATTAGACATCTTTGACTTAAAGCATTGATTCTGCTTTGAGCAGAAAGACCTGTTTTAATAGTTCTTTGTGCGAGGCAGAAAAAGACAGAGTTGCAACATTCTGTTAAAGAAAATTCATTCTGTCCTCACATCAGTTTTTACCCGCTTGAAATCAAGTTTTTTTGTTGGCTGTATTTTTGTAAACGATGAGTGCTGGCTTACAGTAACCTGCAATCCTGTCTGTTTTTAAAAACAGCAGATGTTAGTATCCTTATTAACAGAAACAGAACCACTTCTATTTCTGTTGCTGTTAGTGTTACTTCAGTCTCGGTTCATTTTACTGTTAAGACTTGAACTTTCTCACGTTACTAATATGTACATTGAGCAGTTTTGTGTTTTTTTTTGTTGTTGTTTTTTGTTTCTTAAGGTCTGTAAAGCCGAGTTTCCACCTGGGCTATTGGAGGCTGGGAAATGGTGAGAAAGGCTGAATAAAAGGCATCAATGGATGCTCTGGGGAACATGCTTCAGCTCTGCCTGCACAACACTGCTTAGAATCACGGATTCTTAAATTTGACTCATACCGTACTGTTTGGCTCCTGTAGGGGCACTGAGATTTCTGTTTGCCATTCTTACAATCTTCTAGCTCATAAGAATGCTAGTAAATACAGGTGCCGCTGCAGATGTAATACCTTCTGGAGGAATCCAGCTGTTTTATTACAGGAAGACTCTTACAAATGGTCTCTACACAGACCTACAGCATCTCTATCAGCACCTTTTGATTTAAGTTCACCTACATGGAAATAGATTCATTCATATGATACTCTGCCCTACCTTGAAAATCTTGTTCAGAACTGAACCCATCTCTCTATGGAGATAGGGTATCTCTCTGATGGCTAACTTGCAACCAAGCCAGCTGCCCACTCATTTCTGAGTTATCTGCAAGAGGTGATGAAAGGTTCCTACACAGACAGCTACAAAATATTCCTTAACATGCAGAAATGTTAAGAGATCTACCTTACGTAGTGCTCTGAAGTCTTGAGCTTTGAGCAGGTTGATTATGCTAAATTTGCTAGTTTGTGTGATGACAGAGTTCCCAAAAACATCCTTCTTATAAGGTTTTTCTTACTGAATTGAGATGTGGAAGGGTAGCAAGGAACTGACATTTTGACTCATGGGAAAAAGTAGGAGCCATCATTGCAAATATCCGAGAGAGTGTTTGACTTTCAGGAGTTGAAACATTTTAAGCAATGATTTTTTTTTTTATTGTATTTAATTTATTTCTTTTCCATCTTTGACAGAGTTGCTTTTCCAAATACTTTGGAAGAATAAGAACATAAAGCTCTATGGAGAACCATAAAACAGAAGGAGAGAGAGAGAGATTTTTAGGTAAGATTGTGAACAGAAATAAATTTGTTAGTTTTGCTTTTGGGCATCTGCACAATTCATATATCTGTGCCCCATTGGTACTCCTTGTTTTATTTGGTGTCCTGGGTCAGACAGTAAATCTTTGTGAGCTCTATTTTAAAATTGCAATATCTGTTTGCTGTTCCTTACATATTTCAGGATGTGATACTGCTGATCTGGGGCTGCTGTCCAGTCAGTAACCACATCAGATTCTCATTAAATTCTGCATTTAGATTTGAAGTTGTGGTGGAATTTGAGGTTTTAAAAAGTATTAAAATACTACCAATAATTACAGAAGTTAATGTCATGGTTTTATGATTTTTGCTTATCAGTATTTCACATTATAACATCATGTAGTGCACTGGGAGTTAATGAGCTACTGCTCCAGTTCTGAGTACAGATCCTGGAGAAGAACTGCTGCATTCTGCAGGGCTGTTTGCTATCTGTTATCACTTCTGCTAAGGGAGAATAGATAAAAGGCCTTTGTAGGTCAGGTGATGTCCCCTTTTCTTCCAATCATCTGGCTTGTCTCTGTTGCGGGTGCCTCCTTGTCACAGCATTAGTATAAGGCCTTTAGCTTTCAGATGTTCTCATTTCATTTTATTTATTAGCTCCAATTCTAATTATGTTGTATTGGAGATTCTCCCTATCAGCTCAGAAACACTCTTTCAGAATGGAGACTCTCAATTTCAGAAACTCACCCCCTCTCTGGAATAGTATTACAGTGCGTTATCTTGCATTTTGATATCTTATTTAGTAAATTAGTTTGGTTTTCCTCAGATCATTGCTCCTGTTTTGTTTTAGGCTCATCCTTCTATCCATTTCCCTTATCCCTTTCTGGGATGTGGATTCACAGGATCCACAAATCCCTCTGCTCTGCTAGTCATGGAATCAGGCTAAATCAGCCCATAAACCATTGATGCTCCATTTTGCTTTATGTCAGTACACTCATACTTTTTTCATTCTGGTCAGCTGCAGGAAAAAGTTATATCAAGCTCGATGTTTTCATATGTGAAGAGACATACTGTATGTGATATTTTTATGCATTGTGTTTATGCTGGATTAAGAACTTCTGGCAAAATAATGACTTGAAATGAAATAAATTTAAATGAAACTAAGCTAAAAAGAGGGCTTAGATATTCTGGAGAGCCAGCGTGATCTAGCTGAGCAATGTTTTCAGAAGAACAACCTTGGTCACAAGGCTAGAATTAAAAGCAACTCACGTTCCTATATTGCTTATATTCAGGAATGTCATGTGCATCCTAGATCTTAGTGATACATTTTGAAGATATCCAGACTCTATACAAAGTGTGGAGATGGAAAGATAATCATTTTTTGTTGTGTTTTTTAGTTTTGCTATTGCTCTCAGAGGAATGAAATTATAAGAATTCTTCTTGTGGATAGCCTTTAAATCAGTTCATGTTCTTTTCTAAGTGGAATGAATGCATTATTTTCTGTTTCCAAGGAATTCCTTTGATTGTAACTGTTGAATTGATGTTTATACAATGCAACTTCTGTGTAAGCAATATTTCCTATTGATCTTTTAATGATCCTATTAGTTTCTTTCATTCCCTTAATAGAAATTTTAGCAGTAATAAAAGATAGAATCGGGCAGTAATTAGAACTATGATTAGTTATAACATGTGTTTCTTTACCAAAGCAAAAACCCAATAAAATGTATATTAAAATAATGGAACTGTGTCTAGCTATCTTGAATTATATTAGAACATTCACTTTCTCTCTTTTCTGAGGATTAATACATGCTTTAAAAAGCAAATGCTTTTATTATGCAAATTCAAATCGCAGCGCAGTAAGTGTATTACTTTGCAAATTGCTCTTCCTTCTTCTTAAACAATATAAAAACCTGAAATGGCTATTTGAGAGGATGTGGTTATTTGTGCTCTCACGTCTTGGGCCCACAAACATTTGTTGTAACCCTTGCTAATTAAAGTGGTCACATGGGTTTCTGTGACCCTAGTCACGTGTAAAATGAATATGGTGCAAGAATACAGATTTGTGTAGGCCAGCTTGGATTTCTAATTGAGCAATGGGATCTACTTCTTGGACCCTGTCTGAAATGATCTTCAAAGCTGTCAACTCTGCAGAGGACTGAGCACATCGTGTAGGTGTTAGCTGGCACTTCTTTATCTGTGTTTTGAGTAACAGCTTGTTATGAGATACATCTTAGTCAAGATCATTAGATCATGCATAGAGGTATTCTTGGTGCCTATATTAGACCAGACCTTGTGCATTTTTGTCATTTGATACAACTATGCAGAGAAAACTGAAAGCTTTCGAAAACTCAAAGCAGTTGTCAAAGTATAATTTTTTCTAGAACTGTAATTGTTCTTAGACATCATATCCTGGCTCTTCTGATTAGAGTAGCTGTCAGCAAAAAGCAGTTAGCCAGGGCAAGACTTCACTGTGTTTGATGATGACCATATTCAAATGCTGCCTCTTCAGTTGATTATTTGTTGGTTTAGAAAAGTGCTTTGGGTTCAGGAGTTGGGCTGATCTCATGCAAAGACAGGACTAGTACAGAGACACTCCAGGCTTTGAGCTAGCCTATGAACAGCGGTGGCAGGGCCAGTTGTGATCGCTTTGCTACTTATTAACCTACAAGGCGTGTGGGTGATTAGCCATCAGCTTCTGGCAGATCTCAGCATGGGAGAATTTTCAGGAAGAGACAGGAGTTAATTTGTGTGTTAATAATGGCTCCCTGAGTCCAATTTTGAAGCTACAGAATTGTACCTGAGAGTTCATTCACACAATGTAAAGTAAGGAATGGACTTGGGAAAGAAGAGTTGGGAAGGATGCTTGGTCAATCTTTTCCTCCCCCTCTGCTCAATATTAAATATTAGGCCAGATATGTTAAAAGACCCATTGGATTCATGGGCCGTAGACTCTGCAGTGTCAACCAGTGTCTTGGTTTATGCTTACAGAGAACAGATTTTAATTATTTAGGCTGTACGGCTATGTAGTCAGGTGAGGGT